CAGCTTTTGCTTTTCCAGCTGCCAGAAAACACCACTATAAAGTATACACCTTATTGTCGATAACAAATAACCATGAGAACTCTTAAGATAATGCAATATCCTTATGGACATGAATATTTTTATAAGGGTCCTTAACCCCACATTCTTCAACAGATGATCAAGACTTTGTTTTACAATTCACCCTACATAATACAGAGAAGTTAAGACAATTTGTGATTCATTGTGTTAAACTTTTGTGGATTAGAAACCAGTCCTTTTGAAACACAGTGGATTTCTTCTCCTCCCAAAGTACCCTGTGATCTGCCTTCCTCAAAGCTTGTTTCTACTTCACTTGGCCATGTACGGTCAGGAGATGGATTTGAACCAACAGGTGTGGATGTCTCTGTTGTGCCATCATTGCTTAATAATCCTATGGACTCCTCCTCTATAAACCCAACTTTATATTTTGGCAGATTCTTTCTCTCATATCTGTCTGGGTTTCTTAGTTTACTTCTTTGCTCTTCAATCTCTGCATCACTTGCAATATTGGCAAATGCTTTCAGTCTGGTTTTAAGTTCAGATTCAGCTTCCTCTATATATCGGGCTGCTAATGTTCTTCTACAGCATTTATGTATTATTCTGGGGATTTAAAAAAATGCTGAGTCAGGCAGTAATGTCCACAGTGTGAACAGCAGAATAGATTTCTGCTGCACAACTTCTCTCTCCATTCATAATGACTGGGTAATCTCTCACCTGTGGAATTTGGAGGTGGTCCCAGTGGTGTTGCCAGAGGGCTGAGGACTGAGCCCTGCCCTTCAGCTAAGGCCACTAGAATTTCTGCCTCTGGCAGTGGAACAGGTTTGTGGTTGGTTCAATTTCTCCTGACCATTGTATCTAATCTTTATTCATTTTTGTCCAGAAGAGACTTCATTTCAACTTTTCTAAGGTGAGCAATCACTGGAGTATTAAGGCTCTAATCCTCTGGTACAGCACCTGTCTAGTAGGCTTCCTCCACTCTGCAGCTGTAAGCTGCTAACCCTCGCTCTGGTAGGGTATAAGTCTGAGTCAGATCAGTGTGCTAGGACCCTGCCAAATCCCCTGCTCAAAGCTGCAACTCCACCCTAGGCAGGATTAACCATGGGCCTGAAGATTCCCAGGGAAGGGAGATCTCCTCACAACCTGCTTGGGACTTAAGTCCAGCAAACTCCAGAGACTCTAGCTCCAAAAAGACAAAAGCAGACATCCCCTCTGGGAGGCAGCAGTTTTGTGATATTAATGAGCAAGTAGGGTAAAAATCAGGGTTAAACCCTTTCTTGATGTTTGCTGGGGCTTTTCTCCTCTCAGAAGCTGTCACAGTGCACCATGCAGCATGCCTGGGTATGTGAGAAGCCTGCTCCTCCTGTGCAGCCCTGTCTCAGGCTGCAGCCTACTCGGAATTGTGCCTAGCTGGCTCTCAGCTTAGGGAACCTTGCTCTGCCAGGGAAAGGTGCTAAGAATCAGGCAGCAGTAGAATGGGATTTGTGCCTTGTGATCATCAGCCAGCCCCTTGCTTTGGGAAGGAGTCGGTCTCTATGGCTGCCCCAGAGGCTATCACCCTATGAAAGAATAAGAAGCACTTGAGGCAGCCTGTGCCCAGAAGCTGAGGCACACGAGGACTTGATTCCCATGCAGCTGCTCCATCATGGGTTTACAGGGGCATAAGTGAGAAATCCCTTCCCATGGTCAAGAGCTCCTGATTTACTGAGCATAAAGCCCTGAGTGGTACTTGGTCACTCTTACAGAACTTACTAGGGTCCTAGCAAGCCTGCAGGAGCTTCGTGTCAGGCTACCAGGGCCATCTAGGGGGCTATTCTCCTTAGTTGGGGTATCCCAAGACCAGGATGAATAGCATGCTACTGTCCTCCTGTAAACAGTCAAGGGAAGCACTGCATACACATACCATCACAAAAAGAGAAATTTCACATGGTTCTCCTAGGATAGGAAGCTGGTGGCTCACAACGAGCTCATTATTAATAATAAATACCTTCCTTTCAAGTAATAATGAGACACAGGGTTTCCTGTACTCTCCTTTGTAAAGCCATCATACAATTAGAATGTGGATGTCTGGTTAAAACTAAATGTTAAACAAAAATGTTGCATAAACACACCAGGATACTTCATAAGTTTTGGGAACCTAAGGTTGGTTAAAACAATATCCACACCACTGACCTAGTTCCAAAAGATGCCTTACACCATAAAAGTGAGGACACTCTACTAAGAAATGTAAAATCCTTGACTATAACCATTCAGACCAAAAATATTCTTAATTAAGAGCAGAGAATACCTACTTGGTGGCAAGCAACTGGATTGTTGTCTAGGGGTGTGTCCGTGCTTGGAGTGCAAGATATCTTGAGTTCATATTATGGTCAAATCTTTACAGTGGTGTGTAAAATATTCTTTCTTGTTAACCTTTCCTGGCTCTAAGTGCTTTGTGACAAGAGCAATAGCTCCTAACTTAAAAAAAGTAGTGTTTAAATTCTTGAGTAGCAAACAATCATACCCAGAGTCCCCAAACAACAAGCCTGTGCATCCAAATTCACAGGTGTGAGAATGTTTGGGGAACCAGAGAAATTAGCAGCTGAGAATGCAGAGAAGCCTGAGTCCTCGCTATCAAAGTCAGCAGAGCAATGCTCCGTCGGTCACTACGAGCACCACTGGTGCTGAAGAAAGGACTGTTCTCCTATGAGCGGGGCACATCTGAAGCAGGAAAGGTTTCCAAACCCATAAAATCCTCAGCATGACAAACAAAAAATGAACCTTTTAATTTGAGAGCTTATAATGCCTTTCCGGGACTCTCTTTCTTTGATCTAGTCTCTGCACCTACATTCCTAAGAAATGGCTGGTAATAGTAACAGCAATTGTCAGTTTCAAGTTACACAGATCTACCAAATCAGTGGCCTGGCCAGAGAAACGGAGCTACTCCTAACTTGTCAGCTGCTAGAAACTATTCAAACCCACCAGTTGTTTAAAATCAAGACTAGCTTGAGCCTAACAAAAAATTGTTCACCCAGAGGTCAAAATAGGCCTAGGTCTGACCACAGTTTTACCACCATGGTGAAGATTTACAAAGATCCAAATTTTCATTGCACTAGTCATTTCTTGGTAGTGGTAGTCTACAGCCAATTGTCTCCATCAACTAGGTTTGGTGGTGCTACATGTTGCTTTCACCCCTGACTGGGATTTCACAAAATCTGTCATGCAGAACAGCTGCAATGCAAAATTAGGCATTTCCAAATCATGTCTGAATTTCCATTTATGGACAGGTATGTACATTAATTCAATCCAATTTTCATTCTAGATTCTTGCATACAAACTATGGAAACATGCCTTGCAGGGTGGGGAGACAATCTGAAAGACCAGACATCTTGGGTTATGGGTCCTCACAGAAAAGCAGGCTCCAGCTCATGCCTTGTGTTGTACAATTTTCTAAAATCTCAGCACATGCATCCTTTTAGTTCATTTCAACAGCTGACGTGTGAGACAAAACATAGGAATAGCCACATGGGATCATACTTGTGGCCCATTAAGTCAGTACCTTATCTTTGACAGTTGCCAGTACTAGCTGCCTCAGAGAAAGGTGCAAGCAACTTAGTATTAGGCAGTTAGGTAATAACAATGATACTAACAATAATAACAATGATTCTGATTATCATCGCCACAACATTCTGGAGCTCTTAGTTGCTTGAGAGTTTCTCAGGGATGGGTGGCAGAGTTCTACAGCTCCTCACTAAAGAAAAGGAGGTACCAGCGTTCTTTAAGTAGGTACGATGGAGTCCCTATGTAAATATCATCGTGTCAAAATTAATCAAACAGGCCAGTTTAGAAACACTTGTGGCCAACCTTTCCAATTACCATCACCTCTATAAAGCAGGTCTTGAAATTAATTCCTTTCTCTACACAAGAACCACACTGCTGCTGTTGTGAGAAAAGGGTTATGCTTATAGCTCCAGAAATCTTTCTTCCTAAGTCTATTTCTTTCCATAAATCCTGGGAAATACTTCTCCCATCGTTTTGTTCCAATCTTTAAAACTGCTTTAAAATGTGGGGCATAAATGGGTATTGCTACAGCTTTATAGAAACACATCAAGCATGGTATATATGCCAGTGGTACCCTGTTCATCTCATTCTATCCAAAATACCAAGGCCTTCGGACCTCAAAGTTGCTGCAAGCAACGTGTTAAAATCCTGTACCAACTGGCATCTGGGAGACCATTCATGAAAGGAATCAATGCTCCTTCTGTAAGGTCCCTAATGGCATTGTGGGAACGGAGTGTCTGAGCCACATCTGAGGAACATTTTCCTGTTTAGAGTGTCATTCCTCTGAGAGGCATCCTTTGGTGAAGAGATTCCAGGGGGCTGGGTCTCAAATAATTCCTTACATTACAAAGCTTTTGCTTTATAGGGGGGAAACTATATTTCTACCTATTACCCTACTCTAATAATTGTTAAAATTCTGCTTTAGCCTCCCCCGCACTCCACTTTTGTGAATGTCTGCTCACTACTTTCCTATTAGTAGTGAAGAACCAGAGAAACTACAGCAGAATGAGAAATTCACCTAATAATTTTCTTCCCTTTAGCAGCTTCTCTCCTCATTCAATCTACCCTAGTAGTCTGGTAAATAACTGGAATACCGTTTGTAACAAATTAAACTTTTTACTCTCCTTTGAAGTCCTAACAATATAATTGCCTAAAGGCTTAGTTAATGTAATTTCTAGTTATTGTCTTAATGCCAATAACTGGTTGCTGGAGGGTTTCTACAATGGTGGACGAACTCTTCTGGTGGCCTGCATGGAAGGGTAGGGCTTAATCCTTGTGCCTCAGGCAACAGCAACTTTGGACATCCTCTGAATTGCACAAGTGAGGTGCATTACCGTTTTGCGGTGAATGAAGAGAGCAACTGGTAACTGAAAATTATCAGGTAAGAAATTCTTCAGTGTGAGTGAAGCAAGTTGGGTACCCCCTGCATCATGGCAGCAGAGAACTATTAATTTAATGAAATAAATGTTAAAAACAAATTGTCAAACTAGGAACACCTGGGGCAGCCTGAGGGCTAAATGCAGCCTCCCTCATCCTGAGCAAGATTATTGGTGACCTTTAATCAGTATAGGCCTGATCTAAGTCCCACTGAAGCCAATAACCAGCATCAAGATTAATCCATCAAAGAAAATACCTCTGCATTTATTTTTATACAAAATGTATATAAATGTGTATCCTGATAAGATGGGGACCTCTGGCTCTTGGCAAGCTGTGCGTGTGTGCCCCACTTTCATAGTTTGGTTACCCTGACACAGACTCTCCAGGGTTTCCATAGCATTCTTCCATTCACTGAACTAAAGGATGGAGGTTGTACTCTGCAAACTACAGATATGCAAGGACATTTGCAAAGGTTTCTGGCCTGTGCACAGCTGCCCAATCATATTGGCTTATTATAGCCTCAAGATGTGCATCCAGCAACATTTGTGGTTGTCAGCTGCTCCAGAAAGTCCCTTTAAGGGGTTTAGGGAGGTAAGGGTTCCCTAGTACAGAGGAGGAAGTAGGATAACTTAGTGCTGACTGCCTGCAGCAACTTATACTCTCTGTCTGTGCTGATCTGAGTGGGTGAGAATCAAGTGGAGATCTACCATCTCCTGTGCATCTAGCCCCCAATGCTTAGAGGCAAGAGAAGAGCGCGAGAGTGTCCTATGGAACCAGCACTTCACTCATTTGTACTCCAAGATCAGATCCACTGTCACAGGCTCCCTTCAGTTTCTGTAAGTGAAGGGATGTACAGGGGTCCTATCTGACAAACAATATTAAAGAATAATAGAAATAGATACAATGCCATAAAGGTTCTTACACCCAAGATGTCACTAGGATAAGGCTTGTTCCTAAGGAGGAAATTAAGAACACAATCCAGATTTGCAGAGTTCCTGAAAAAGATGAACAAAAACAAAACAAAACCAATAGAAAAGAGCACTTCACATATTTGTCATGTTTCCGCTTGTCTAACTGTAGCATATGGACAGTCTGAATGGGGAGCCAGAACGATAAGACTGAAATTCAATATTTGTGTGGGAGCCCAAAAGAAATCATCATAAAGGTTAATTTGGAAGCATTTCAACAACTAGCCATCGGGGTTCATTCTTATGCTACATTTTCTTTCTGTCAGTGACAGCACATTGACCAAGTAATCAAGAAACAAGGGGCTTGATTCTCGTTGACTCTCCTATCTTGCATTGTCCTGCACACTAGTGCAGATCATTACCATTCTGATTCAGTAAAATTTTACACCTTCTCTGCACTCACTTGACCTGGTGTAAATGACCAGACAAGGCATAGAGCAAGAGAGGATTTGGGTCCAAGGACTGGGAAATGGACCCAGGTCTTCTGTATGGATCGCTAGAGCATGATACTAGATGGAGCCATTGAATAAGTCTGGTAGGGGAGATTTCTAAGAAGTTTGTTAGCTCGTGATAGAAAACACATACATTTGCAATAAGAATAATTAAAAATTAGCAATTCCACACCACTTCTATCATTGTCAATCCAGTGTGCTTCTTTACAGAAAATAACTTACCGTGACACTCTCTCTCAGTTTTGGCTCCTCTTCTATCACTAGTTTGTGTTTTTGGACAGTTTTTGCATGCAGTCTGCCCGTACTTCTTATTATAGGATCCAGATGCACAGAGAATACATGTGGTATCATATCTTGCACTGAATCGACCCGGTGGGCATGTTACTATTTAAAAAAAATGTACAATAGAGTAAAAATGGATTTTAATAAACACACATTAGGTTGTTTTACTTGAATAATTTTAATTATTGGCCTGTATAAGAGGAAATAATGTTTGTCCTTTGCCAACAAAAGGCCTGGTGAACTTGGCCTTTTAAAGCAAAGCTGGTTTTCAGTGATAAAAAGTCATCTAAAGCTCAAATTTACTTTAGATAGAGGGAAGAAAGAAAGAAATCACTGAGATTGAAGCTAAGTGTGGAAGGTTTCCACCTTAAAGGAGACCTGCAAAGAGGAAAAAAAAACAGGTTTAGTCCTTTTTTTCCACCTTGGTTTGATGTCTAAACAAGACCTAAACAGATTTTTGTTGTTTAATAACTGGAAGAGTAAGGAGGGAAAGAGAGGAGATTGGGAATGGCTCTCAGTCTTTAGTTGAAGACATGGGGCTGAGAATCTTTAGCAGTCTTTCTTTGAACTCTTTTAGGTATTTGAGTTAGGTTCAATAGGATTTTCAGAAAACAAACCCCACTGACTTTTTTAAATAATCTTAATAGAAATCAGTTCCCCTCCCAATTAATCAGATTACAATGTCATCATAATACTAGCTCACTGTTTATTAAAAGCATGTTCTTTAGAAAATGGTAGGTAAGACTGTTTCCTCTGTTTAAAAAAAAGAAAACAAAACTCAGTTCTAGCCTTCTTTATACGTTATAAAAATAGGGAAAACTCAAAAACATGCCCCCCCCCCCACTTTTACATGTCACCTTTAAAGAATGATCATGTCAAATGTATGTTTTGACAAATTTAACCTAAGGTGCCCCGCTCCTAGCTGCTGAAACCCAGTGACAAGCCCCAAATGCCCAAATCCTCTCAGGTCCCTCCAGTGATGAGGAAATTAGTGAGAATGATGTGAAATACTTGGCGAGAGTGCTGGGTAGATGTTGGGGGAAAGTATTTGTGAACACTTTTGCAAAATCTGAATCACACATCTATTTGCCCACGTTCACATCCTTTCCTGTCTGATTTTCATGAGCAAAGTTCTGTTCATACAAGTGTTCATGGAAAACATATTTCAGACCTGTACCTGAGACTTACTTAAGCAAAACACTAAAGGTATTTTGTGATGGAATGAAATTAAGGATTAGATTATCCACTCAGGAAACATAAAAAATACCACAAGATTTAGGGACCCAGTTGCACCACTGGAATAGCAAATTCTAGGTATCTAATAATAGAATGCCATGAACAATATGTGAGCAATCCATAGGTTGAAATTTGGTTACCTAAACTATTTATTGAACAATTGTAAATAAGAACATATTGTTAAAGTCTTGATTTATTCAGTGGATACATAAACAAAAAAGGGCTAAATTAATCAAGAACTGCAACCCATTCAGCCATTTGCAATGTGGCTGACCTACATCACAAAGAATTTATAAGAATACTTTTCTATTACTGAATATTTTTAAAAAAGACTTTGAAGCTTAGGCTCTCTTTGTGTGGAAGAACATGTATTTTATCCTGTCAGTTTGTCTGTTCAGCTCCTCTATAGAGTGTGCTACCTCAAGAATTCCAGAAAAGTGTGGGGTCACAGTATTAATGTTTTTTATCAGTTCCGTCTCTTCTTTTTCCTGAGAAGGCTCCATTGGGTTCATATCTCCACTCCCCCTTAACTGTTCCAATATTTTTAACATAGTTGGAAATGTTACACTACCTACATATGCATCTTCCAACCACAAAAGTTTCTGTAATTTTCCTGTTCAATGAGGCTGTTAACACTCCACACTGCAGTCCACATTAATGTCTTGTTAGCCTTCTCTGCTCCCCAAAATGGAGAAATGTTGTTCCACTTTACACAGTACCATCCTTTCTGTCTAGGGCTTGTCTTATCTGCAGTATTAACTTTGGCTTTTAACCTGGGTGTTACCTCTTATCTGGCTCCCATCCACACAGAATAATCCTCACTCACTTTACACCTGGGCCAGCTGGCCCAGCCTGAGTGCTGCTTACACTTGGGCTAGAAATCTGCCGACTTTGCAGTGTAGACCCAAGATAAACACTTGCGTGCTGATAGTCCTTCAGTGCCTTTGCACAATTCCCTGTGTGCCCAGAAGGACAGACAAGTTCTCCCACAATTTTCTGGGAAAGAATCAAAGCTGCCCATCTTACTGCAGTGCTAAGAACCATGGAATATGCCCCCCAGAAATCCTAGCACCTCACACAATGAGTACAGCACCAGTCAAGTGGATGCACTTGAATATGGCTGTGTAGTGTGGCTGCCCCGTACCTAAGCTAGGACAAGCCGAGTGCTCACACATGAGTGCCAATAACTGAGTTAACCTGAAAGTGAAGACATACACTTAAAGGCTTTTCAAAATATGCTCTATTAAAGGTTTCTTTCTAGTTTTGAGCATATGGAGTCTGCTCTGTGTCCTGGTCAGCCTGCCTTAGAATCAAACTCAAATCCTCTCCTGTTTCATTTTTAAAAAAAATGAGTTTGGTGCACATGGACAGTGCCAGATTTATAGTCCCAGGGCTTGTCCACCTGAGGATAAAAAGTGTATTTTCAAAACTCATTAGTTAATACATTTTAAAACCCCAGTAATCTGTGTCTTAATATATTAGCTGATTCTGTTGTAAGCTAGGCTTTCTATAGGGCTCACCAGGACCAACTAACACGGGTCACAACACAACTTTCCCTGTCTACACTAGAGTCTTAAAACATTATAGTTAATGCAGTTACAAAAAAAAAAATATCCTAGGGTGGACAAGGCCCGGAGACTGAAGATCTCTGTTTATACCACAGCCTTGAACCCTGGTATATGTAAACATACTGCTAATTATTAGGTTTCAAATAAATTGGTTAGTCTCTAAGGTGCCACAAATACTCCTTTTCTTTTTGCTAATTATTAGGATGTCTTCCATTTGCAGGATGGGACTGACAACACTATATTTTTCTTGAGGCAAGTAATTAGATATTATTTTCCAAACACGCCTTGGACACTCACCACAGCATCCTGGACACAGTGTACTGTTGTTTATATTTTTACCAAATCCTGGTTTGCAGTGATCCACCTTCTTACCAGTAAGGGAGCCAGAAATATAATGTATCTGGTGAATGTGATCTGATTCAGTATTTTGGACTTCAAAGAATTGTTTAATCCTAGTGTATGCCTAGAAGTAAAAAAAAAAAAAAAAAAAAAGGCAACAAGAAGAAATAAATTATTCAGATTCAAATCATGAGACATCTAGCGTGACAGCACGGGAACATACGAGAGAGCAAAATGCCTCCTTCCACCTGCACTGGATATCGGAGTGGGAGGAGAAATAGGCCCTGCGGAACTGCTGAGCCCTCCTGCCTTTGCATAGGTGGGTTGGAGGGGGCAGAATGGGACCAGGACTGGGCGGAGCCATGGCTCCGTACACCTCCACCCCCAGTGCACCGGCCAACATATCTCCAGTCATTCAATGGGGAATGTATGCTGTACCAGGTACAGCTCGACACAGTTTTGTCTTCCCTTGGAGCAGAAGGGGAACCAGGAGGGAAGATACTTTGGATCAGCACAAGAACACATTGCCTCTTATTCTGGGCTCACAGCAAAGCCATAACTGAGCCCAACATTATCATCACATGGCACAAACACAAGGTTTGAACAGTCTTTAAAAAAGTATAAGAGAATCTTAAAGACTATAACCGGGGTAACATCAGACAGCCTAGGGGACAAGGCTTCCGAGAAACATGAGGAAATATGTCCTTTCTGAAATAACTGTCAGGACCCGACCCCCCCCCCCCCCCCCCCCCAAAAAAAAAAAAGGCTTTTGGACTAAGCAGAAGAAAAATTCCTTGAGCTATTGGCAGGCTATTGTCTGTCTTTTCTTCATGGCATCAATTCCATTCTTCCTGGACCCTGGCATTCAATTTCCTAGTATTCTTGTTTGTTGTGTGTATGTGAACTTGGAACAGTTATGTGGACCACTTGTCAGACTCCTGCCCCACTGGATCAGCTTAAGGGCAAACGTGGCTAGGGAGGAAGGGGTCGTTACTAGTAGCAGCAGCATACTGCACATCACATCACACCGCACATACAGTTTTGAAAATCTGTACAATCAGCTGAGAAAGAAAAAAGATGAATGGCTGATCATATCCTGTGAGTACACACTTCATGAATGTAATTGTGTGCCAGTTCCTAGAAGGAAAAAAATGAATGGCTACACACAGAATGTTGATTACAGTGCAGAAGATCAGGCTGACTCTAACTTTGGCTAATCAGCATGTCGCGTTCTGAAGGAGCTACAGCTGTGCTTGACGCAGTGAATTTCTGCTAGACAAATGCATGGCTATCCAAGAATGCAACACACAGTACCAGGTGTATATGGACATCATCCTGCACCTGTCACATACAGTGGCCCAGTTGTTGGAGTCCTATTTCAGAGATACCATGTCTACTGTCTTGCCCAGGAGAGGTGGACATGGCCATTCAATACAAGAAATTGATGACTGGTTTCACCTTTATTTGCATGTAGAAAGAAGAGAAAAGTATAATGGTACTCCAGAGAAGAACATATTATGAGGCTCAGAGATATAATGGGACAGGAGGTGGTAAAGAGCATGATTATTCAGCTAGGGCAGTATTGAATCAATCAGTTTATACTGTAAAGGTATATTTAAAAAAAAATTAATAGAACACTTGGGAAAGGTGCCAAAATGACAGCCCTGGAGACTGAAGGCCTCTGATTATTCGAAAAATGGGCACCAGCAGTGCTTCAAGCTTGTCTCTGAGAGGCCAGTTCTAGGGTAAGAAGGCAGGTCGATCTTCATGCCTAACTGATTCTTGGTTTTCCTGTTGATTTTTAACAACAGGGGTGCCAATTAACGCCAACTGTGACTATGGTTGCCACCAAGCATTTTGGTTTGCCAACAAAAGAGTGAGAACAATTTCCCTGCATGTGGCCCGTGTCTTTCTCCAGAAATACAGCACCTAGCAAAGTGTTTAGGGGGCTTATTGTTGGATGTGATGTTAGAATGAATCAGTCTATAAAAAAGCACCAAACTATAAAGTGCCATTGTTTCAAACTCTCACAGAAGTACCTCAGATTCCCTATTAAATGCAATACTAATGCAGTAAGCGTCCTTTTCTATCTATCATGACTTTTAATATAACCATAGTGTGAGAAAACTGTGATCAAGAATCAATGCTTCAAAATATGACATTTTTATTATTTTCTTAATAAAATAGTTGTACCTTTTTGATGTAATTGGTGGAATTTTCACATTTTGAACTTTTACAGGACTCTGCAAATGCCAGTGCAAAAGGAAAAACTGCAAATTAACAGAGAGAGAATGATATTTAATATTTTAATTTGAATGTTTTACATTAATATGAGAGGGGTCTAAAAGGTTTTGATCTATTTGAAATTCTGAGAGCTTATAGGGCTGGTAGAGAGTGGGAGTGGGGGGAGGTGTAATTAAAATGTCTCAAAAAAATCAGCTTTTTGTCATTTTTATCCCCACTCTAGTTGCTTGGTAATGGTCATCAAGCACGGAATCAAGAATAGATGCCATAATTAATTTTAACAGGTAAGGTAGCTAAGGAGACTAGACATATATATACAGAAGTATAACACAGGCAGTTACTCTAAGCTAGTAGTTTCCATTTTAAAGTTGATTTCGGATGAAAAAAAATAGATCAGTAGCAGAAAACATTATGATTTTGGTCTAAAACTTAACTTCCTGCAGGATGAAGAAAGAGTCCTCCCACCCCACCTGCATGTTGAAGCTTTGTACACGTGACTCACTGCAAGTACAAATGTTTTCACTTTGTTCTGAATCACCATTCCCAAAGGCAGGATACCAGAATGAACACAGTATGGTCTGCTCTAGTATGGAAACTTTTGGAGCAATGTAAATCTATTATTTTGGAATCCCTCATTTAACTTCAGAATGTGAACAGACTGTGACAGCAGATCTGAATCCCCTATCTCTGTATCATCATGTTGACCTTTTTCCCCAAATGAGTGGATCAGTAACCAAATACAGCTGAGTTCATCCAACATTTCTTATTTAATCTATCCATTCTATGTATTTATAATATGGTCATTACCACTGTATAGCATCTAGGCGCAGACAGATAATCATATAATTAATTTGAAATTGCAGATATAAGCTTTCTTGACCTGTGTCCATTGATAAATGTTCCCAATTGCTTTAACTTATTTAATGAAGAAGCAGTCAAAATCTCTATTTAATTTAGAACTGTTATTTGAATATGCATGAGAGATCTCACACAAAAAATGAACAAATTAAAAAACAACAAACCATCCATATGTTGATTGATTCTTTGTTTACATGATGCTTGAAATAATGGAGGGGGGGACAAAGATTTTTTTACTCCCTTGTAAAATAAATACAAATTATTCTAGGTGAGTAATTCAAGTAGAAGTTTTTAATGTTGATATATATTATACTAGAACTAATATTTCCAATATAAAAAAGTTTTCTGAATCCATCTTCTTTTGGCTATCCAGCCTCTGTGGGTTAGGTTTACTTCTTTTTATGTTCAGCATTTTTTTATTTTTTGTACATAAAATTACCAAAAATCAAGGTAGATAGCTCCTATGATCTTAGTTCATGGTGTAAAAGCTGATCCTTATACATTGGAATTAATTGTCTAACCCCCTATCTAAATTAATCTAAGGTATTTCTGGAGAACCTATTACCACAGCATCTGGGCTAAACCTCAAACTAGACTCTAAAGACTGAAGTTAACGTATTTATGACCTGATGGTGTACTTTGAAATCACTGGGGAATCTTGATATTGATTTCAATGGGAGCAGAATCAGAATCAAAAGAACTAACTGTTGAGTTGTGAAAATCGAGGGCAAACAAGATACTTCTCAGAGTATATGATCTATAGTTTTTGACATGGGAACACAGATGCCAAAACATATTTTACCACAAATATCATGTATTGTTTTTCTTTCTTTGCTATATGTAAATCATGCAACATTTCCTCATGTATGTCATTTGTAAGTAACAGAATATTTAATTAATAGAAAAATATATATCTTACCTACAAACTGAAATGTAAGTTTGTGTGTTAGCATCGCCATAGTATCTGTAGCTGCATGGCATTGTGAGTTCCACTGCCGGATCTCACACTGAAGATCACGGATTAAGTTCTCCATATTTTCTAATAGTTGTTTTTCAAATGAAGTGACTACATTGGTTTCACAGGTTTCTGTTTTGAATTCAGATGATAGATGTATACTTTTCCCTGGCTTATGATATACTATAAAAATGAAAATGCTCTGTCAATTATATAAACTTTCTATTTTATCTAATCTATATATCTCCTTCTAATCAGCTATATATATATCTCCATGTATTAAGATACCAAGATTGTCATTCTGTGTGTCACTCTGAAGCCCAGAATGTCTGTTGAGTCACTGTCAAATGATGGAAACAGCTTCAAACATGGCTGAGAGCTCTTTTTATTCAAAATATCACCAAGTTCAATTATCATGGGGATTTGTGCTCCATTAGGATCCAACTGTTAAATTCTCAGCCATTCTGACTTTATGAATTACACCTGTATGACAGCAAAGCATGTATCTCTGCCTTGCCAAGAGTCCTAGAACACTGTGAGATCAGAGGTAATTCAACCAATCACCCTCCTTTCTCTACAGCTAATTTGCATGCAACAATTTCATCGGCTGTATGAAAGAGGCTGCACAGATGGTGGATTGCTTGGCCCAGCTGCCACACCCATGTGACAGCATGGGCTTTCAGCTACTAGTAATATATAGTACTTGACACCATGGTAGCTAAGCTAAGTTTTGGTATCTTCTTGTTATGTATTCCTGATCATTTGTTTGATAGTAGTCAAAAAAGTATTAAATGGGGGGAAAACACCCTAGAATTAATGTAATGAAATGATACTGCTGCAAAAACCAAACACTAAAAAGTCTGGAAATCTTAGAAACTAAGGTTGCTCTGGTAATGGAAGGGCAATCACATTCTATCTATTTTATGGTCTACAATGAGAAGAAAGTAATAATTTAAAGTTGTATAGTCAGCATGTGAAACAGGAATAG